TTTCACTGAAAATGTTTCTGTATTCTTTGCCTCCTCATTTCATTTCTTTCTCGATCATATAGATAAGAGGCAGCTTGTACAGTTTGCAAGTACAGTAGAAAGGGTGCTGGCTTTGGAGTCAGAGGACCTGGGCTCAAATTCTGCTTCTGATGCTTACTACCTGAGTGACCTTGGGCCAGCCTGGGCAACTCTTCCTGCCCTTGGTTTTCTCATCTAGAAAATGGAGATTGAACTAGATGCCCTCTGAGATCCCTTTCAGCTCTAAATCTATGAGCCTGTGAGTTTTGAGCCCTAGTGCTACTCTTTACTGTGACCAGGGTATGCCCTTTAATCTCTCTGAATGTATCCTCCTCTGTAAAATGGGACAATCATACCTATTTTTCTCAGGTTTTTTGGTAAGAAAAATAATTTTTACAAATGTGTGCTCTTGTTGAACCATTTCCAAAGCCCTTGGTTCAGTGCACTGGGAGAGCATCCATGTGAATGGCAGTACAGGGCCTTGCTGGCATTCCTGTGATACTGACAACAGAGGACAGAGAAGGAGACCCACAGAGAATCGTGGAATATTGGAAATGGAAAAGCAAAGCAATGCATGATTTTGTACTTCCTCAAACTATCCAGATAACTATCCAGATTAATTGGGAAATCCTGGTGAAAACACATCTTTTACAATATTGTTAGTGCCTTCATCACCATATCCCAATTGCACTTTTGGGGATTTTGCAAATACGTTCAGTACTAGTTTCGTGTTTGACAACATCTTGCATTCAAGTATAAAACTGCCTTTTCCTCGTGGTTGATTCTTCTTCCCCCGTTGCCATGTCTCCTCCTCAGGCTTGGCAAATAATCTACAAGTAATATCCTGCTGTGCAGCAAATAATCTACACTGCTGAATTAGGGTGTATTATAAATTGAATAGGGTGGCTGCCCTACACAGTTAATGTGTGACTGAAGAAAATACAGCTTTAAATGGGTCTGAAATCTTTCAGGATTGTGGTCCCAAGACTATTAAGTGATGTTTTAACCTGTCACATGCATACAGATTTAAAAAGGAACAACCTTTTTTTTATGGTTGTAACCTTTGGATTAGGCATCAATCATTTTTTTTTTTTATTTTTTAGCCCCAACTGCAGGGCAGACATTTATTGACTTCAATGAAGAAGCCCAAAAAGCAGCAGAAGCACTCACGGCTACTTTGTCTTCTGTCAGCGCTGGGAGGACGGAGAGCAACGTGAGCTGCTTCTCCATGAAATCTGAATCAGTAGAATAATGTGGATCTTCCATGAGGAACTGCATGGTGTTCCAGTGCAAGTCCAGTCTATCCATGTTAGGAGTGACAAACCTTTTAAAAAAATGTTTTTGTACTGAATTTCACTTGTCTATTTTCACTATGTAGTAAAATACTTCTAGCTGCCAAAAATTGGTCATCACCCGCCACATTTGAAGAGGGATTTAAAAAAATTCCAATTCTACCGTTTTCTGTTAAGTGGTTGCTGCCATGGGAATACGTTAGTAAACTGAAACAGTCCATTTCTTTTTTTCTTTTTTTGCCAAAGTCTTAGATTGTGAAACTGACCTGTAAGTATGTTGTTAATTTACTTTTTTTTTAAATCAGATTTTTTTTTTTCTGAGAATAAATACCTGAGTTTCCTAGGAGTGGTTCAGGCCAAATCATTTATGCTTTTACATTTCATATAGATTGGAAGGCAAGTGATTTGAAAAAGATGAAAGCAAGTTGTCAATTTCATTGCATTCTTAGCAGGTGTCTGTGGGTTATAGATTTCCATGAAGCCTTACCTGATTCCTTCCCCAGCCCGTGTCGGAAGTGACCTTTTTCTTCCCATGACTATGTATAGCACCAGCCCCCGTCTTACGTGATGAGCATACTCAAACCTTGCATTAATATTGTAATGTGTAGTATTGCTTATCTGTACGTCACATTGGTCTTGATTGATTTTAAACTACATGAAGGAATGGAACACGATTGTGTCATCTTTGTATTTCCCCCAGTGCCTAATAGAGTGCTCAGCACTTAATCAATGGTTGCTGAATGAATCAATAGATAAGCCCTGAAAATTCTAAGTGTTTACACATACACACCTGTAGATTATATAGAGTAAAATTGTCTGATGTAATTTAGGCATTATGATAAAGAAGTTATTGATTTGCTATTCTGCAAGAAATAATTTTTTAAAAGATTTAATGCCATGGACTAACCAAAAGTTAGTTGGGTTTAAATTTCTGACAGATACTAGAAACACTTATCACACATGCTGAGGATTACTCAAGATGAAGGGACTTAATGTCCTCATAGAGATGAGGACTTACTCTTAGTATTATTATTTGAAATTGACTCAGTGGCAGTCTTTCTCAGAATATGGTATAGTAGAATTGGTTGGTAGCACTCTGTAGGCTGCAACAACTGTCACAGTTTGTAGCTGCCACTATGTCTGCTGATATTCATCAACAACCAATGGGATGAGAACAGGCTTCCAGTATTTCCCCCAAGCCAAAAAAAAAAATTTGGGAAGGAGGAAGAATATGATTGGGTATTTTAGGACATATAACCTTGGCTCATATCTCAAAACACAAAAGGCTGTGTAACATAGTAAAACTGTTTCTAGGACCAGTCTCTTATATTAAGAGCTTAATTATAATTAGTTCAGGTGGCCTGAATCCCCAGTGACTAAAATGCAACCAACTGGAATAAAAATATTCACCTGAAATGATGAATCCAATTGGTCACAAGGTCCATCTAAAGAAGTCACTGGCCTGAATTGACTGGGCACTTTCCAAGATAGTCCCCACTTCAGGATGACATTCACTGATGTGCATGTAAACATGATTGATTCTGGGTGTATTTTTTATCCTTTTAAGTTGATGCCTATAACCACAACGAATCTATCAAATAGACAATTTAGAAATTGAGAAAGAAAAAAAATTAAGCAAACCTATTTTAAAAATAATTGTGTGAAGAAATATTCTTGAGAAAAAAAACTATTTAAACTGATCTCTCCTCTGTAATGGTTGCCCAATAATGTTGCTCATGCCCACATTAATTATAATTATCTACCGTATGTTAATGCCTGTCAATGAAGCATAAACTACTCAAGTCATCTATATTAAAAAAAAATCAATGTAACCTCAACAAGGCTGTGAAATAATTTTTAAAAATTTACTGTTGCCTGATCCATTTTTAAAAGGTCCCTGTTTTCCATATTGGATGAGTACCATATTTACTTTAGTAATTCCCTACCCACTTTTGCTTCTAAAAAGGGAAATAATAATGGAGGAAGGAATTATTTGGTGAGCAGCCACAACAGGAACTGCTCCTTAACTTCCACTTGAAGGTTGTACTACTATCACTGGCAGAAATTCCCTGGCTAACGAGAACTTCAAAAGACATGGGGTGGGAGGATCTTATAAATATAATAGGGTTATATCTGAAATTGCTATGAATGTGGCAACATGGGCTGCTTAAAGCCCTAATAATGAACCAAGATTTTTATGAGAGGATGCTAGGACTTAGTTTTATTTTCCTACTGAAAAGAGGGGGAAATGTTTCTTCAGGCTAGAAGAACACCAAGAAATAACTTCCATAAGCCCTTTGTTTCATTTTGGTTCAAAAGAACACAGGAAAACAATTCTAAGTTTATCATGTTATGACTCCAAACTGCATCAAGAGAGCCAGAAAAAGTGTCTTAATGTTGTAAAAAAACAAACAAAAAAACAAAAAAAAAACCCAAAACCTGAACCCAACAACCATTAATGTTCACTAAACACTAGTAACAGCAAATAAGCCCCTGTATACCATAAATGGTTAAAAATGTCCAGAATTTGTTTCATGAAATGCTGCTAATCGTGTCTTGAGGTTGTAAACACTAGGCTTACCCTACCTTTGGAAGTTCAGAGTTGCCGTTTATGACAACATAAGCTCACACTGGAAGACATGTTGAAAGAGCCTCAAAATTTGGGAAAGGGGAAACTTGCTAAGAATGTGAATGTGAAAACAAGCATGAGAAAAGAAATTTTTAAAAACTTTCTGATAATGGTGAAGGGAAGTTAAGTGTTTTGTAAAAGGGTACAAACTTTTAGCTGGAAGTGCTGTTACTAAACCTCTAAAACCAATGCATTGCTAAAGTTGCTAAATTTTTTTTTTTATTTTGGAATGGCCTAATGACTAGATTTTGATGACTTCATTCAGTGTGTTATGTTGTACAATTAGAAAAATCTTTTTTTTCCCTTAAAAAATGCCACTGAATCTGAGAGAGGTATATATCATCATATGGAATACTGTCTCACAATAAAGTTTTGTGTTTTCTTTGAGCTGAGGTCTTTTTTCTCTCTGTAAGTTGAATGTCTGGAAGTTAGAAGTCTTTCTTCATAAAATTACAAATAGACCAGTGGATGTGGGCATGCATGTAAGTAGTCTTTGCCTGCCACTTGATGTCTGGTGGAGCATTTGAATTGTAGAGTTCTAAGCTGCAATTTAGAGTTAGAGCTGAGAACAAGAGTTAAGTCTGGCTTGGATACGGTGAGCCCCTAGGAGTAGGAGGCCACAAGGCTTTCTAAGGCTCAGTTTTGAAACAGCAGGTCAAAATTTCCATGCTGACCAGCAGTGTTGTTGAGGCTATGAAAGGCCGCTGTACTCTCTGCTGGAGTGAAATAGAGAGATTCAGTATCAAGCAAAAACAAAAAAAGCCCAAACATAGCCTGCATCATATTCCTATTGCCATTTTGCAGTATTATTAATGAATTATAACCAAGCCCACTGAAACATGATAAAACATGGCAAAGCAGAGATGGCTACCAAAATCACCAGTCTGCTTCTTTTCACCACATTGCTTACTGTATCTACATAAATATAATTCCCCTGTTGCTGCTTTCACCCATCTCACTTGTTAGCTGGGTATAACTTTAGAATTGTTCAAAAACATACCAAATTTTATCATTAAAATGCTTCTCACTACAATTTTCAAAATGCAAATAACAAAATGGTAAACTGTTGATACTTTTTAATAAGTTGTGATGAGATGCTATATAACTTGTCACAGCAGATCAGAAAAAAGTTTAAGGAAGTACAGATTCAGTATCTTTTTAAAACAGTTGGTAGCCCCTATATATATATATATATATATGTGTATATATATATGTATATATATCACACAATAGTGCTATTATTTTGGGGTGAGTTACAGTTTTAAAGTGTCACATTTTCAACTTTTTGTAAGGAAACATAACTAAGTTTAAAATTTATTATTAGAAATCGCAGAAAGAAAATTCTCCCCAAGATTAGGAAATTGCCTATTCAGCTCAACCAATCCCTGCTTATTAGCACTCGTGCAAACATAAAATACAACTACTGCAATTAGTACTTATCATTTTCTTTTGCCCTTAGGTGAAGAACACCTGACAGCTGCATGCAGAGCAAAACTAACAAAACAAAACCATTCGTTTGCTTGAAGAGTTAAATTACCATTACTGAATCATTATCATAAAAAAAACTTACAGTGCATTCAAATACATTACCACTTATTTTAAATAAACACCAATTTTGAAACAATCAAGTTTGAAAAGCTGCACAAGTTAAAAAAAAATCCCTGATTACATTTCTATTTGTTCACTGTTGCGGCCTGAAATATTGTATTTTTAGAGAATACCTACCACTTAATTCCTTTTTAAAAATCCCTTATGTAATGTAGACTAGCAGTAAATCAGGAAGATTATGTACCTGTCACTCAGTTTCACTGTAAATAAGAGCTGTGATAAAATGTGGTACTTCTATCACATCAGTACATGATACTACACATATCACCACAGTATATGGCTTAGAATACCCACACTGCATGGAACTTAAAGGTTTGGGTTTTACCTGACTCCAACAAGCATGCCAAATGCAGTAGTATATTCCCACTGAAATTCCCATGGGAAATCTTAGTACAGTTCCACTGCTTGAATTTTCTGTTCCCATACACTAACCATGACTATGTTGGGGTCCACTTTGACTAAGGGGGCATCCATTAGATGTCAGTATCTCAGATGTAAATTCTGTTCCAGAAACCCTCAGAATGTAATTTGCATGGATGAAAGGCAAATCATTTCATTGTTGCTGTAGTCACTCCATCACAAGATGGTCAGGTATGACAGAAACTGACTTCTTTGGGGTCTGTAAAGTTGCCAAAAATTGCTAGATGCCAATGTTGATTAAACTACAGTATGGACATACATATAAAATATTTACAATGTGTGGTATATCAAAAGTTAAATTCATTTGGGTAATCTCATTATTCAATAAGTACCATAATTTCTTTCCTCAGTAGAGATGATGAGTGATTAGCACATCATTTAAAAATGGATTTTTTTTAACCCTTGGAAGGTAACGACAATGAACAAAAAAACAGCTAGGAAAAATCTTATCCCTATATAGCACAGAAAGACCAAAACCCAAAGTGACTTGAAATCTGTGTTGTTACAGAACTTATTAATGTATACAGCTAAACTACATACAATGGGGCATTAGAATAGAATCTGAATTCTTGAATACATTTAGAAGTTCAGAATTCACAGCCCTTGACAAGACACCCAATTTCATTATGTGCTTATTGAAAAGGACTTCCAAAAATGGCAGCCTGTTGGCTCATAAATTAGCAGCTGGAACTGTTTGTCTCTTTTATTTTCTCAACTCTATCTTCTTTACATTCTTGTTTGTTGCCATCTTCATCCTCCTTGGGTTGACTTGACTCATTTTCAGTCACCTGGTCTTTGGTTTGGGGTTTGCTTGTGGAAATGGGATCTAAAAATACAACTGGACCCGCCTGTTTTTCATTGCCCATATCTCTTCTTGTACCTCCAATGTTACTGGGTGGTCTGTGGAAGGAAAAGTTAAAAACAAAACAAGAGAAAACAGAAAAATAAAAAAAAAGCAGAGAGACAAAATATTTGTCTATGATATTCCTTGACTCAAAAAAAACCCCAAACAAACCAACAAACAAACTAAAAAACCAAAAACCTAGCTAACTTTCAGATTTTCACTAACATGCACAGAGATAGATTTGTATTCAGAGATGCCAGACACTTAACAATGAGACGGAGCTAGATATTAAGTGTACATAAAAAATAAAGGCGGTGACAGGGGAAAAGGGAGGAGAGGCAAGTAAGAGTAACTACAAAAGTTTTGAAAAAGTAAAATGTACCTACCTTCTTAATTACATGCTCTTCTCAGGAAGTATAAAGCCAATGGATACATTGTGCTTTCTTCCTCACTCACTGGCTGCTCCTTAGAACTCTCCTGTTACAACCTCACACCGCTGGAAAGAATACCTTATCCCCTATTCCAGGATCCCTAGTGTTTTCTCAGAGAATAATATTATGGCTGAGGATCTAGTTGTAACTCAGCTTGAGGATCTGAAGGAATACTGCTTGGGTACTTCCGTTGCTCACTGCTAAAATAGATGCCTGCCCCAATATAGCTAGATTGCTCTATGACAATGATCTTGAAGGAAACCTGACACCAGCTGCTGGCATTACCAAATGGAGGAATTTGGTTAGAACTGTTGTAGAGTAGGAAAAGAAGCCCCCAAAAAAGAGGTTAGGAGCATGAACAGAAGAAATCTTCAAAGATCTTAAGCATTAAAACTTTTGCTAACACCATTTTCAGGATTCTGGGACTGAGGCTCTTTTCCAAAGCCAAGAGAATCAGAATGCTTTCTGAGTGTACTTAGGTGGGGTCTCTCACCTATTTGAAGTTGTTGCCACAGATGCTTACTCTGTCCTTTTCTTTCCTTTCCTGAAGTTGTTTCTCAAGTCCCTATTTCCCAATCTGAGCAGTACTGCATTTATGTGAACAGATTTTGCAGGTACCCTCTCAATTACTGAACAGTAGAGAACTCCCTTTTCTATTCTATGTGTTAGGAACAAAGGCATAACTAGGAAAGGGCTACTAAGACTTTGGCCCCAAAGTTTATGGGACACCAGTTCAGAGAAATACTGAGCTTACCACCTCATTAACAAATTAACTCATCAAAACAGGAAGCTACCATATGCGCCCATCTTCAAGTCACTATAATAAACCCCCCTACTCACGCAACTCAAATTGTTTTTTGTTTTGTTTTGTTTTCTTGTATTACTTTAAGTCCCAGTGCTAAGTATATACCAAAGGAGACATTGGACAACCAGCCTAATTACTATGCATATAGCTGCCGAGGAAGTTGAATACCAAAAACTTAGTGTTAATGTTTTACATCCCACTTATGGCCAGAATGCCCTGTTGTTTGTCAGTATCTTTGTTTTCTTGCACCGTCTTTACCAGCAATATCTTTCCAGGTGGTTTCTATTAATAAGTGAGATCTTAAGCAATTAGAGCTTGAAATGGATGAGCTTTGGGGGACTCTATTTAGATGGTCAAATAGAAGTTTTGTTATGAACAGCCCTGGAAACCTTTTTTTTTTTTAAAAAACAGATTATTTTCCTTCATCAGGAAATTAATTGTGCTATTTAAGTAGTCATGAGGTGTTTTTTTTTTAATCATCCCAAACCATTAGGTCAGTTTGTCATTCTTTGCCAGAATTACTATTAGAGAATGACTCACGGTTACTGGTTTCTACAATCTAGGGGTGGAATTTAATCTTCTTTCAGTTACTAAAGAATACTTCATTTCCTTTAACTTACTCTTAAATTCTACCAATGAGATGGGAATTTGAAAAAAAACTAGTGATGGCCAATCTAGAATGTTAGCCAAAGGAAAAGAGGTCTGGGGTGAAAACTTACTGATCTAGCTCCCACATCTGCCATTAGCTAAGATTATAGCCTCTCTGATCTATCCTCTCATTTCTAAAATGTGGGATGGAGGGGATGGACTAACAATTCTTAAGGTCCTTTACAGGTTTTCAATTATGTGATTTTGGTTCATGTTCAACCTCAGTAATGTTTTGGAGATGTTTATAAGTCTGGAAGAATCTCTTTCCCCTCTTGGGCTTTAGCTTTTTTTTTTTTCTCAGACAATTTTGAGAGTAAACTCAAGATCCAATACAGAATTATAAACATACTGTACCCTTACAATTACCTCTCTAGGTTTAAGTTCCTATGTTCATGGAGTCACTCTGTCTCAGTATCACACAATTATCTAATCTTAATTTCCTATAATTTCCCACAACTATCTCTATGTATTAGCCAGACTGAAAAATCTGGCGTTCCCCCAAACACACTGTGTTGTCTCCTGCCTTCATATATTTGCTCACACTATTCCCTTCGGGAACGAACAAAACTTATACAATTTTTACCCGTCATTCAAGAGCCCATGGCATTTTTCCCATTTAGTTTTCCCAGATCACCCCCTCATTTTAACTAATAAGAGGCCTTCCTGTCCCTTCACTGAAGTTCCATTCTGATACCTCATTGTGATATGTGACCTTGAGTTGTCAAATACATTCATCAGAGTGTAAAACTTGGCAGGTTTTACCAACCAGTATAAGCTTTGAATATCATCCCAGCAAGAGATTACATGATGACAGGTGAGGAAAAGCTAGCTAAGCTAGGAGAAGGTCATCACCAAGACTGGCCACCAGATGATGCAATGTTTTTTGTCCATAACTCACAAAACTATGAAAGAAGTGTAATCTCTGCTAGTGGAGGGGTAAACATATTGAAGAAATCATAGATCTGAATAAGTTAACACAATTTCTCTCCTCTCTCCCCAGTCCTGAGGAAGTTCCATGAATGCAGGAACCATGCTTTATCTTCTCTGCATTCCCTACCCCACCCATCCTTAGTCCCTAGCATGGTGCACCTCACTATAACAGGGGTTCAATCAAGATCAGTGGCATTGAATTGTCTTTTCCACAGGGTTTTAGAAATTATGCCATTTCAAACTCCAGGAATCTCTTTCTCATAAAGCAGGATATTTATAGAGGCTTTCCATATGAACCAATCTCACCATCTTGAGTATAGGCATTATGCTCATTCAACTTGCCTCATTTGTTTGAAGGTCAAGAATTTTTCTCACTGCTAGATGAGATCCTTAGAAGAGCCCATACTTTTCTGTGATATCTATATCTCTCTCTCTATATATATATATGTGTGTGTGTGTGTGTGTATGAATGTGTCCTTACTACCAAACACATCTTAGAAGACACTACCAAACACATCTTAGAAATCGATAGTGATACTTTGACCACTTAAAAATTTTCTCAAGTGTTCTCTGGACTTAAGATGAATGGTGACGCAATGCTTAAAACATCTGGAATTTTTCATGTTGACTTTTCCTGAAATCACCTTGGTCTACATATCCAATTCTTTTATCTCTTTGTGGTAAATATTCCTAATCTGCTAGAACCCTTCCTCTTTAGGTGGGTTTAGCACAGGAGCAGTTCCCTTGAGTTCACTGATTTATAAGGATCACTGTAATGATTCTTTCAAAAACAGGCCCAAACAATTAAAAACCAAATCCTTAGAGCTGAAGCTAACCTTATAGATCATATACCAGCTCCTTAATTATAAAGATGATGGAACTGAGATCGGCAAGGTGAAGTCATTTGTGAAGGTCTCACAGAAAGTCTGTCCCAGAGCTCAGTTCCAGCTCAGTGACTCCCAGGCCCGATGGTGGTATTCCACGTCACCTGTGAAAGGCATGTTCTCCACAGAAAGATGAAACCCTGCATCATGGCAGTTTTGATGGACAATTTTTTCCTGCCTGAATTCCAAGATCTTTCCTGAATAGGAAGGTAATGTGTAGCTTTTAAAGGTGAATCATTTCATTTGATTTTCCTTTTCTTTTAGCTTTTCCAAATTCCTAGTCTGATTTCACCTTTGAACTCTCCCATTTCCAAGGCTGCTTAACTGGTGGTCGAGTCCCCTTTGGAATCTGGCCTTTATTGATTTTAGAATGGCCCATATTTAACCTACCCATATTTCTATCTCATTATTAGGGGCATCAGAAACAGATGTTTTCATCGTTAAAGAAATACTGAGTTGGCAGTTACTTTTCCCTAAAAAAGCCTGATAACAACAATACTTAGATCACTCCAAGTTTCACTGTCTTGTCCATGCCAGAAGCAGAAGTTTACATGCTGGACAGTAATTGTTACATGCGGTATCTGAGTTTCATTTTATCTTCTTTTATTAATCCTCTAAGGAGGATGGAAACAAGATGGGAGGGAGTAAAATATATATATATGCATACATAATGTGCATGTGTATATATATATATAATGTGTATGTATATATACATAACATTCATGGAAATTCTTATGTGTTATTGCCTTATATATTGCAAAACCTACTGATCTAATTAGAGGAATGGGTGGTGAAATATAGCATTAACCTCACACAATTGTAAAGCTAGAAAGGGGGCTTAGAGATGGAATAAATCAATAACTTCATTTACAGATGAGAGCCTGAAGCCTAGTACCTTGGGCAAAATCACACAGTAAGGCTGGTATCTAGAAACCCAGGTTTCTTCACTACAGTTCAGTGCTCTCTCCATAGATTCATAAAATGTTTAGAGTTGGAAGGGTTCTTAAAGACCACCTAGTCCTAGGGCAGTCAGGTCGTGCAGTGGATAGAGCTCTGGTCTTGGAGTCAGGAGGACTTGAGTTCAAATCCGGCCTCAGGCACTTGATACTTATTAGCTGTGTGACCCTGGGCAAGTCACTAAACCTCATTGCCTAGCCAAAAAAACAAAACAAACAAACAAAAAAAAAACCTAGTCCAGTCTGCTCATCTTACAGATAAGGAAAAAGAGATTTGGCTAGAGGTAGTGACTTGTCTGCTAACACCTAAAAAGTGCTGAAGCTGGGCTTCTTACACAAGTCTTCTGATTTTAAGGACAAAACTCTTTCCTATCCTTTACTTCTTGGTACTGTTCAATAAAT